GGGACTCTTATTTACAGATTAGAAGACGATGAGAGTGCAGCGGGTGGTGGGATGAGTGCAGTGCTTGTTTAGTGGAAGAGGGGATTAACTGAAAGGCCTATTTTAGCACTGAAACGCCTTAAAACCATGACAACGTCAACATCCCTGATCACAGATGACATGTGATGCACTTCCTGTGGTGGACGTAAGGAGGTGCTTTGGAAGCTCAACTGATCCCATTTCCTGTTTGACTTAAACCACCACAGTCAGAACAGCCATTAAGGATCAGACCAGAGATTCATTCTTATCTTGTGTAGCTTTTATTTTTATAAAATAATTAAGAGGTAATGCATTTACGTGTGAAATGTTGCCAAAACTGCTTTTCTGCCAGCTAAAACTGTCAATGTAAACTGAACAATATCCAGAGTATGCCTCAATGTGTCATGCAACTTTATGTGTGTGTATGTGAGTGTGCACTTGAAGTCTGCAAGATGTGCCTGCAGTACCAGATGGTGGACCCACAGCCACATTCTTATGAGACCACAAAAAGAGGGATCAGTGGCATTTTGACAGGCTAACAGGAAAGCCTAACTGTTAATGGTGAGCAAAGTAGCGATGCAGCCAATTCAGACACTGCTCACCTACACAAACACAAAGAAAAAGCTGCACTTCTTCACCAGATTTAACATGAATACAAGTCTCATCATCAACTCCACATCAGAGCAAGAAGAAGAAACAAAATGCTTGGACGCATTATTTTTTTAAGTGCATCATTTAACCTCAGATCATCACATACAGCGTGTGCACTGACGAAGCACCAAGTTTCCAGATTTGTTAGTTTGCGACGAGGTCTAGAAACAAGAATCATTACTGGGCATCTTAATATTTAACATATCTTTATTGAACCCAACAATTTTCAGTCAGGTCATCTGGACAGTTTCTCTCTTTTTTTTTTCTTTTTTCCTGAAACGTTTCACCTTCCATCCAGAAGGCTTCATCAGTAAAGGAAACGCACAACAAAACTGATTCTTCCCACAAACAGCTAACTCCAAAGTGGAACAAACCAGCTGTTTGGGGGAAGAATCAGTTTTGTGTTGTGCATTTCCTTGACTGATGACGTCTTCCGGATGGAAAGTGAAACGTTTCAGAAAAAAAAAAAAAAAACTGTCCAGATGACCTGACTGAAAATTGTTGGATTGTATACCTGGATTATTAAGCATGGATTTTTTTTATCTTTATTTAACTTTTCTCTAACTCAAACCTACATCAAATTAAACTATTTAGGGTGATTTATGATAGCGTAAGTGGGATGAGATTAGATTATGAGGATAAATACTGTATAGAAAAAAGCTTTAGTTTTTAAACCATGTCAAATTTTAAACCCTGATGAATTTTACTGTAAAGAGTTTGTTTTGGTCTTAAAATACACTGAAAACATTCAAATAAACATAAAACATTACAAACAAATGAAGTTACAAAGAAGCAATTCATCTCAGTGTCTTTATGGTCCAGCATTGACATCTATCTGAAATGTAAGAAAATAAGCGCTCAACGACACAATGGGCGAGGTTTACTGTAGAAAACTGAAGAACGACAAGATGAAATATCAATATGGGGTTGGGAAATACCACAGAGTTAAATAAGACAACTAGAGGGTTAAATTAATAACCAAATAATTATATAGTACAATCTGGTATTGCCTCTGATTTATGTAACATTTACACAGTATAAAATATTATATATTTGACTATTTTTACGTTTCCATTACAGAAACCTGACCTATTGAGAAGATGGTTAGCAAATATCAGTAGAGATAAGTTTCATTCTTTAAAGTATCACCAGGTATGCAATGAAAATTTTCTAAGTGACGACTACATAACAGGTAAAAATTAATAAATATACAATATTACAATACTCTTACGAAATACCCTTTATATGCATTTCTGAGTTGTGCACTAACTCAGTTTTTCTTTACATATAATATATACCATTGTGTATATTTATATAATTTTTTTCAAACTGTATGTTAAGATGTAGTATGTGTGTGTATAAAGAAGTTACCCAGGCATGCATGTTGAACAAATACATTTCATTATATGCTCTCTTTGAATGAGTTTGGAAATTTTACTTTTGAAGTGTAGGTATATATTAGCCACTGATCACTGCAATTAGTAGAGCCTACATATACACAATTTATATGTTAAAAAATTAATTGCTAATTCATCAAATAGTTTAAGTCATATAAGTACGTAGTACTATTCCTTAGATAGAGAACTTTACTAATTGGCTTTTATGTATGTGAATGTTTCTGTAAAGTGCTCTGAGACAACTTTGTTGTGATTTGGCGCTATATAAATAAACTGAAGTGAATTATGTAACTAGCTAAAACGTCTAAGTTAATGACTGACTCCGGATCTGGTTTAGATGATCATTACTTATAAACAATATCCTTATGACTCCACCAGACTCTAGCTGTTTTACATGATGGTTGAATGACATTAACATTAAATATCAATTCTACTAATTTATTATAAAAAGATTACAAATAAGTTGTGACACAGATCCAGTTGGGTTTTCTGTTAATCAAATAGTTGCTTTGTCAGCTGTGAGCTGTTGCCGTCTTTGGACGTCACCTTTGCTCCTCCATGATGTCACAGATGCAAGCAGTGGGCGGGATAGGGTGTGCGCCTTCTAGTTGTCTTATTTAACTCTGTGGGGAAATGCCTAAAATCAGATAAAAGCCTTTTGGCAGCAGCTGAACTGAAGAATGGTCACTAAGAATTTTGGGTTTTCTTTATTGTTCTTTAAGTCCGTTTATAGAAAATGAACAAATATGTTTGAAGAAAATAATTTGTGTTTTGTTGCATTCGTTCTCTTGACTTCCTTTTTCTCATCATGACATTTGAAGCTCAATAAGAATTTAGATTTAATGAATTGCTCAACAACAAAATAACTCAAATGTATTTTATCCATACGTCTTCATTCACAAGTCTCTTATTCAATAACTATGGCTCTTGTTTGTGGCTGAATATAAAAAATAGTTTACTCAGCTATAAAGATTGATGTTTTCTATGACGCTGCAAGGACCACATTGTCAATAATTAAAAGAGGAGGGGGAAGAAGCACGTTGTGTACAGACTCTTAAATTTTACATCCTTTCATCGGTTCTTTTATGACGTAATCAGAGTAAGAACAAACTGAGAAGATGAAGCCCAAACGGCCTGTAGTGAAGCTCAGGCTACACTTTCAAGGAAGAAGAAGGTAAAATAACCAAGTAACCCAGTCTGTGTTTCTACATATATTCTATAGCTGTTCAGTTTTGAAATGAAGGCCTTTATGTGCAGAAAACTTGATCACAAGCAACACTACAGGTCCTTAAAACCCACAAAGGAGGTAACCGACTGCCTGTGTCTGTGCCCTTTTCCTGCAGACATTACTTGGATGCATAAAAGTCGGAAAAGCAACTAAGCAAAAATTGCATCAAGGAAGACGCTCTCTTTAATGCATCCACAGGAAAGCTTTCACAAAGGCAGCACAGGGCACGCCGAGTCAGTGAGACAATCGATTCAATCCAGGAGACAACTGCTGCATTACGAGACAACCTTCTGCATTGCAGATGGCACATCTGTATACCACAACAGAAATCTATAGCAGAGAGCAGAGGACATAAAAATAGAAAGCAACATATTCTCAACACAGATGTAGTGTCTAAACTTCACGGAAAGGCACAAATATGTAACCATTGTAACATATCTGCACCAAAGAGACTTCGTGCTATCACATCAATAACAGCTCACCTCCCACAAAAAGCTATGACTTCTCCACAATGACCCTCTCGGGTCCACTGCAGCTGACATATTAAAGGCACGTTGAATAATTGATTACAGACTATCTGATTGGTGTGCAGCCTCACATGATACATCTGCCCTGCTACGATCATCACCAAGCGGAAGGCAGCAACGCCCCGTGAGCGAAAAAGAGAAACACTCACGACCTCGACAAGGCTCAAAGCAATTCAGTCACAATCACGGTCGAAGCAGCAAACGCAAAAGGATTCTCACCACACAACGGGAAATTACAGGAAAAAGGCTCACACTATAAAACTTATCTTTGTCAAATTAAATGCAACTGAAAGCTTGAAGTTCATACAGTGTTGTCGCACTGATTGGCTAAAAACCTGCAGTCAGATCCCGTTAAGATCCAAAACAATTAGTGTATTATTGGTGCAGAACAGTGCCAGGAACAAAACAGAGCTGGAAAAGTCTCATTACTCTTAAAACGGGCATTTCTTTTAACAAGTAGTCAAAATTCAGATCTAATATTTGTCTTTTACTACATCACTCTGCTTCATTAAGTTCAGACAAAAACAAAGTGGAAGATTTTGAAGACACTAAATGTGAATTTTCCATTGCAGGCTAAGGAACTGCATTTATAAACCCTGAAGCAATGGATTCTTTTTATTTTGTTTTATAAAGCACTACAAGATAAAGAGAAGCCTGTAGCCATGCTTTGATAATGCCAAGACCATGAGAAGAATTCCTCAGATACTCGCACACGTGATTTATTTTTAGACACGCAGTAGGTGACGCTGGCTCGCACTGGAGCAGCAAATGTTTTTCATCCACATAGATTAATCCACCATAAGGACTATACAGTATAAAATTAATATGAGTGCATTTAAGTCAGAATAAGAACTCAGAAATCTGATCAAACTCTTTATTTTAATTAGTTATTAAGACTGCTAGACCAGAGGAAGTGACGACTAGGCTGCCATGTTTAGTTTTTGCTTATTTTTACCACTAAAACTGCTAAATCAAAAATGAAAAGGATAAAGGAGAGGGTTTAAACAAAGTCTTGCGGTCTCTATTAACTATATCTGGTTACATTATGTAAAACAGCACATCCTGAGTTCAAAGAGAACAGAAACAGAGCAGCAGGAGCCCAAGAATGACTAATGGAAAAGACGTGAGGACTGTAACCAAGACATCAGCGTTACCAGGTGGTGATAAACACCAACTCACCTTCTGTAGACTGGTCGGATTCAGCTGGGTTTTGTCTATAATCTTCACCGCTACCTAGAAAGAGAGAAAAGAGAAAGACATCAAGAAAATAAAGGGAGAAGGAGGTAAAAAGAGTCAAGATGGCAACATTATTCTCATCATACTTCTTTAGAACATTATTTTTTTGTACTTGGTTAGTGTAAATAAGAGCAAGAGAGGTGCACTCCAAGCAGGTGGACAGAGTGGTGTATGCAAACTGTACATGTATAGTAGTCTGGTCGGTATCTGTGTATCTGACTGTGCAGGTCAGAGATCGACTGCTGGCAGCAGGCTGATCGGTCCATTTCAATAATCACCCTAAAGTGCACACAGAACAGACACGCTCTCCTCACTTTCCAAGTGCTCAGCAGCTTTTACAAAACCACAAGCTGAGCTAAACTGCAGCATCACCAGTAAGGCTGCACATTAACGCTGATAAGTGATTGACAAAGGACTTTCATAGTTTGATGCAATTATGGTACATATAAATACACAGGAGGTACATACAATTTATCTCTGTACAAAACAGCAGTTACTTGAGCATTATCTTATGGATACCAACTCAAGAATAGGTGAACAGCTATGAATGCTTATGTTTTTGTGGTGTAACCACAAGCAATTAAAAGACAAAATCTGCTTCAGCCACATTACAGCAAGCAAATGTGCTAGTTGGTTATTGGTTGGACGATTAAAACCACTGTAAAGCTTTATAGAGTCTGCAGGCCCCCAGAGACTCCTCAACCAACAGACAAGCAGAAAATTCTTTAATCTCTGTTACTGTTTTTTCTTTATTAAACTCTGTTTTTATTGTACGTTGCGCTGATAACACTGAAAAATGCAATCGCCATAAACAGATAATTGTAAATAAGCATCCAGAATCCTTCGGGAACTAATATCTGATGATGATCAAGTTTTTTGGCGCATTTGATTATTTTTATCAAAACAATTACAACAACAGAGTAACTCTTGGCTCTGGTATTTATTTTTCAGTAATTTCAGGCTAAATCAGATGCCTCAAAATACTGCCCGCTGGTCCCAAAAGTTTTCAGGCTTTAGCTTACAAGTGGACAAGCTCGGCCAGCTCTTAGCTCTTTTTTCATACATAAACAAGAGGCTTTAAAAATAAACAAAGTAAAAATTTGTGAAATTGTAACCTGTCCAGAAAAGTAAAAAAAAACAACAACAACCTGGTATAGATACAAACTGTGCACAGAATAAAGCAGGAAACAACCACGAAATAATTTTCTTCAAAGCGCAAAATACAACAGACATAATTAGATATGTACAAAAAATAAAATAAAATTAGACATCATTAGGCTAACAGCTTAACAAAAAGTTAATTATAACTAATAATAATAATAAGAAGAAGAAATATTTTAAACCAGTCTTTGATAAATATTACCCATAATCCTCTTAATCACAGTTTTAGGGATCTTTATTTAGCTTTATCAACATCTTACCACTGGTCCTTGCCATTTTTTTTTTTTTCTTTTTACGTATCAGTAACAAGCACCCCCACCCCACCAATCTCTAACAGATGTTTAATTGCAGAACATCTTAACAGGCTCATTGCACTGCATTTAAGAGAGGAAACTGTCTTTGGAGATTAATGATTCCACAACAGCTATAATTATAATTTATTATGACAGCATGCCTTGACTCAGGCCTTCTGAGAGCCTAATAAGCAAGCTTCAGTGTCTGCAGACTCTGGCTTTTATTGCAAGCAGCCCGTTGAGGAGGGAAAATCCAGGGAGCAAATGCTGAGCCATGACAAGGAAAATGCAGGTTATTTGTCTCGAACAGGGTTTCCCCGAAATCAACAGCAAAGGGGTTTTAATTTCATCCAAATTTATCAGTCACACAAAGGCATGATGAGCTCACTAATGGACTTGAGGGTAAATAATTCAACTCCAGACCAACAGGAGGACAACGTGCATCACTGTTAATTATTCAGCGTAATACACAGAGCTGCATGCACCTCACTGTACGCAGGCGTGAGTTCTCTGATTTTAAAGCATCACCAAAACGCTGAGGTGCTTCACATTCTTTGCCTCTTTAGAGTTGTTATTTATTTGATTATTTTACAACACAAGTCCATGAACCTTTGTGCTGAAGGAAACTATTTCCGTACAGTAGACGGTCATATTCACACACTGAGAAGAACAGCATCACCGCTGTTAGAAAAGGAGCAGAGCTGGCTGATGTATCTGAAATCAATATTGGTGTTATGGCATTAAATGTACAAGAACCTACATTATGTTTTCTTATACTCATATGTAAATCAAAGCAGGCTCTGAATAATGCATGCGCACTTCTGGAAATATCGATCTCAGCTTCTTTATATTGACTCGCAGTGACGCATCTCTCGATCAGCACAGTTTAAATTGTACGTTCTTATCTGTGCAGCTTTGCTCAGTAAATTTATTCTGAGAGCACTAAAGAGATGAGGTAAAATCCTCATGTTTTAAAAAGTTAATAACTGTCTGAATTATGGGTGCACCGATAAATCGGCTGGCTGATTTATCTGCCCCAATTTCCTTAATTTTTGGGAGATTGGAGATCGGCCGATACTTATGAGAAACCGATTTTACTGAGTTTTTGTAGTTTTAACAACAATTATCTAAACTTCATTTATATTTCAGAGCACTACCTAATGGTCAGTTCAAACAAGTTTGTATTGCTTCCAGGATATTGTTCAAGGGTATGTTTTTCAATAAATTAAGATTGGAAAATTGAAGGTGTATTGTGACCTTACAACAACTGATGGTGTCGCTTATACTGTAAAACTAAATCGGTATCGGCAGATCAGGCTTTTTAGAGATCGTGATCGGCCAGAAAACTGCAATCGGTGCATCCCAGTCTGAATTTAATAAATGTCCGTTAGCAGGAATGTTCATTACTCCCTGCTGTCGGGTAGCATATGGACAAAAAATTTATATAAATTATCATCAGGTGTACATGTTCAACTGATCATCTTCTGGCATTAATCCATATTCAAAATGGCTGCCACAGTAAAGTTAGCTAACACAAAAGCGGCCTAAATTCAGTTAATTTAACAGATACTGAGCTAAGCTTTGGTGTGGTAGCAGCTGAGAGTCATCCTCAGCTAGGCCTGTCACGATAACAAATTTTGCTGGGCGATTAATTGTCTCAGAAATTATCGCAATAAACGATAATATTGTTTGAAATATGACAATAATTAGTCATTATTGTCAAATTTAAGAAGAAATGTTAATTTGTTTTGCATGTACAGTAGTACCTTGTTTCAACCATTAGATGGCAGTATAAGGCTGAATCGAAGGATGGATAGTAAGAGAGAAATTTGTGAATTGATTGATTGTTTATTGCGTCAGGCCTATCCTCAGCACATTTCCTTCAAGAAATGCTAGGCCTTAATGTTCACTGATCAACTCGTTAATGCATTAATTGGTTAAGTTTAATGCCAAACAGAAATCTATTCAGTCGAGGCGCTGCCACATATTTCTTTTTTCTCAGATTTGCTAAAAACTTAACACTTCAAGAATAATTTACTGACCTTCCACTGTTTAAAAAAGTGAGATTTTATTTTCACATTCTGTTCTAACTTGAACCCAGTGATTGACTGATTAGACAATAGGACAACTGTTTGGTTGCAGCTAATGGTCAACTCATATCTTTCTTTCGAGTCCAGTTCAGAGTCTGTCGAAAGAGGACAAGTGGTTTCAGAATTAAACTGAAAATCAGATTTTGTTTTTGTTTGTGTTTTCATCTGATTAACCACAACAATACAACAGTGAGAAAACACAGAAATGTGGAAATAACTCCAGTGTGCAGGATGTTGTGACATCTCTGAATGGATGATTTGTCATTTCCTTTTACTTTCCCAATGTAAAAAAATTTTTTTTAATTTAAATTAAAAAGAAATGCTAAAGATACTTTGTCTCCCCTCTGTGTGACTGCAAGAACATGACATATAAAAGTAGAACCCACAACATATTGGTTATAATACATTGGTTGTATACGGGTAATCTTTTTTTGTTTTCCATGGATCAGCACTATTTAAAACAAAGATATGAATGTTCTATTATAGGCTCAAAGCAATCTGCTGGCTCCCTAGATAAATAGTTATTAACTGACTTTTTATGTACTGGTATGTGTGACATAATCTGTCCCTCTCTCTGCTTTCTTTGTGTGTTTGTGTCTTTACTTTTCTGCTCCTTGTAGTTCCTGATGTTTTGACTTGTTTTCTGTCATTTCTCTCTCACTCCTCAGCCTGCCTCTCCAGCCACTAATCATCCACACCAGTTCCCAATCAGTATTACCCCAGGTGCACTCATCATCTCTCTCTCCCTCAGCCTTATTTAAACCTCTCTTCCTCACTACTCTAACGCCCGCTCATTAATCTGTAAACCTACAGACGTCCCGGTCCTCCTCTGTTTTGTCCTGATCCAGTGTTTGTCTGATGATCCGTTCTGTCCTGCTTCTGTCTCCCTGATTACCTGTCTGGTCGCGCCACCTGTGTACGTTTTTTGCTGCCTCGTCAGCCTTTTGTTTTGTGTTTAATACATTATTTTTATTGAAACTCCTGAACTCCTTGCCTGCCTGCAAAAATGTGTCTAAAAACTGAGGATCGTGTTAATGTGAATGTTTCTATTCAGTGCCGAGATGACTTCTGCTGTGATTTGGCGCTATATAAATAAACTGAATTGAAATACAGTAATCCCTCACTTATTGTGGAGGTTGTGTTCCAGACACCCCTGCAATAGGTGAAAAACTGCAAAGTAGGGACAATATATTTCATTTAGTATTTATATATATTTTAAGGCTTTATAAACCGTTCACACTCTTACAATGTTCTTAATAATGTCCTAAACTCTCTAAATGCTCTAAAAGAGCACAGAGAAAGAGAGCAGACGAACTGATGCTATAGTTACTGAGCCAATCAGCACCTGGGGGCGGACTGGCCATCGAGAGCACCGGGAAATTTCCCGGTGGCCTGGCCCGCTCAGTGATCACCAAGGTGGACTAAAGGCTCGGTTCTGGTCGCGCTTGAATATTTTAAATAAACAATTCATGCCGCTCACTCTAGTATCCACCTCACTGAAGCTCCCACAGCAGCGATGGGGAAAGACAGACCCCACCCCGCCCCCTCCTTTCTCTTTTTGAGTCTGTCTTTCACGGCAGAGCAGAGAAACACAACAGGTTGCACGTCCGCCTGTTGTGTTTCTCTGCTCTGCTGTGACAGACAGACTCAAAAAGAGAAAGGAGGGGGGTTCCTCGGCAGTCACTGAGCGGGCCAGGCAACCAGGAAACAATTGTGTACAATCTGACGTTGTAAACCCGCGAAAGAGTGAATCCGTGAAAGTCGAACCGCAAAGTATCGAGGGACTTCTGTATTTGTGTTTCTGCCATCAGGCAGACCTTAATTTACCCCAATGAAAACTTTTTCCATCCATTTTATGACAGCATTGATTGTGTATTCATTAAAATGCTTCAAGACACCCGAAAAGCTTCCTATAATATAGGTTTATGTGCATTTATTGTAAATTTCCAGGCTAAAAATCATCTGAATATGATCATTTCAAAATAATTTGCTCAATTTAACAAACTTTTCTACACTTTTTTTTCCCCAGTTACTAATTGTTACACTTTGTGAAGGTTTTTCCTGTTGAGCCTTTTCTGTTTAGCCCCATTAAATGCGTATAGCACAGAAAACTGTTTTTTAATCGATGCAAATGAGAATAAACGTATTTATGAGTACCCGAGTCTTGTCTTTGGTCGACCTTTTACACACACACACACACACACACACACACACACACACACACACACACACGATACTCTGCCTCTTGACAAATCTTACCTTATTTTCTTTCTCAGAGCTATTTGTGTTGAGTTAAACTTCTAAAAGCTGTTGGGAAAATCTGTGCAGGTAAGAGACCTGCTTGGCCCATGGCACAATAGATAGCATCAGTTTTCATGTTATTTCCACCTCTTCTCTCACTCTCTCTAAATTCTAGGTCATGTCTTTGCATTTTGATGAGCCTGCAAAGCCTCTTAGACACAAACCGGTATCTGACCTTTTCTGCCAGCTCTGTGTACGGCACCCAATCTGCTCGTTTAACAGTAGCATTAAAAGAACACAGTACGGATCAAAATGTTACCGACTAGACCTGAGAGAACATTTGTGCTCTTTTCCTCTGACATAACGTGGTACTTTATGAAACTCAGAGGATTAAATGATGCAAATGGCTGAGACGCACAGACATGAGAAGAGCTCCGAGGTAGAGCAGAGCTGTGGATCCTGGAAACAGGAGCTTCAATTACCAACACACCAAAGCAGGGCGTCTGTCACTCTGACAGCTCAGCAGTAAACTGTATATGAGTGTGTGTTTGTGTGTGTGTGTGAGAGAGAGAGAGAAAAAAAAAAGATCTTGAGCAGACGTATCACCTGACAAGAGTAAAACGACATGGCCAAGTAAAATATAATCATGTCATTTATTGTTAAACAATCTGAGCGGGACAAAAACTTTTAAAATGAAGCAAACTGATGTCACTTATGAGCAGCTGGTTCATGCAAGGTTGTGCTTTAGGAATCTGATATCTTTATTATGTAAAAACCCTTGTTTAGAGACTCAAAGTAAAATTTCAAAGCTTAACATTTACATTTATTTACTTGGTTGGTTATGATGAGGCATAAAACAGATAAAGTAAAATAAGACCTTTATTTATCCCACAATGGGGGAAATTCAGATGTCACAGCAGCAACAAGAGTACAAAAAAAAAAACAGGCTTTCTCCCTTGAATGAGTATTGAGCGTGCTGCAATATTCTGCTAACTTTTTACTGCACTGCTTTTTTTCTTAGTAAAATTCAAATTGTTGGTGTAACCTTTACTAAAGATTTGGCTACATTTTCATTGGCTTTGTTGTGTTTATCATGCACCGAGATGCCCTATGATAGCATGTAGCTGGACAAGAGCAACAGATCCAAAATATAAAGGAAGCCGTCAAAATTAACAATAAATCCTTAAAGTGCAACTGTTCAAATTTAACTGTGGCCCTGCAAAAAATAAAGTAAAAAAAGATTTCTATACACCAATAATGAATAAACTGATCCTCTTATTTGGATGTGCAAACTTTTACTGCATTTTAAACTCACTCAAACATTTGAAACATTGAATATGTCTTGATAAAGTGTTAGCTTTAGTGTCAAAATATTCCTTAACTTCACTGTATGTCAAAAACTATTCACCCAGAAGCTTATCTCACCTCTCTACCAGTCAGGACATGCCGCGCCAGCTTCACTTTGGCAAAGTTTCCCTTTCCGATAGTTTTAAGGAGGCGGTAATTGCCGATGTGAGGATGCTCGTCTGTAGAGGTGAAAGAGTTGCGGCATCGCGGCAGGCTGTGACGACTTGCAGACTTCGTTGGGGGAGCTGGGGGCTCAACAAAGCCATCCACCGATGAGTGCTGCAGATAAAGCAAAAATGTAGAGATGAGCAACATCCTCACTCAGTGTCTGAAACTTTGATTCTCACTATTCACTAGTAAAGATAAACCTTTTAAAAAGCTGGGGAAAAAATTTAAGCAGATATCCTGATGCATGCTCAATAATCCAGGTAGAAAAATCTAAAAATGTTCAATCTGGTCCTCTGGACATTCAAAAAAACAAAGCAAAGAAATTGTAGAAACGTTTCGTCTTTCATCCGAAAGACTTCCTCAGTCTGAGGTCAACCAGTTTGCTGCTGACAGCCAAAACCAGCTGCTCACATGATCAAAGAGGACCATCAGCCTAATGATGGAGTGTGCTAATGATCCATCGTTAGACTGATGGTCCTCCTTGATCATGTGAGCAGCTGGTTTTGGCTGTCAGCAGCAAACTGGTTGATCCACTGCGAGAGGGTGCTATTTATAAGACTGAGCTGAATACAGCACTTCAGACTGAGGAAGTCTTTTGGATGAAATACGAAACGTTTCTACAATTTCTTTACTTTGTTTTTTTTTTTGTTTGTTTTTTTAATGTCCAGAGGACTAGATTTAACTTTTTTAGACAACAAAGCAGATGCTTTTCTAATGATTGTTTGTTTCTGTGATAAGGTTGGAAATAGTGTATCCGTGTCACTGCCTCTTTCCTGTGGGGTCCCACAGGGCTCGATTCTTGGACCCTTTTTATTTCACTCTATCTGCTGCCTTTGTAATGCATACAGTGCTGCCTGACAAACTAATCATACTAGGACTAAGCCCCTCCATATGCAACTGGGTCCTGGACTTCATCATAAGTTCCAAAAGTTTAAATCATACTAATAATAGGGGCCGAGATGGTGCAGAGGCAGGGCTTGGGACCCGAAAGTCCCAGGCTCGATCCCCAGTCACTGCACATCACGTGGTGTCTCTGGGCAGCACGCCTCATCCCCCAAAATGCCCCCCGGGCGCTTTCTATAGCTGCCCACTGCACCACCTGGTGGTGGATGGGTTAAATGCAGAGACTAATTTTGCCATTGTATGGAAACATACAGTGCTGACATTGTGATGACATTATTATTAACAAACAGACCGCAGTCTGTGAGGATCCACAACTTCTCCTCCTCCACCCTAACCCTCAGCACTGGCTCCCCTCAGCGCTGTGTGTTGAGCCCCCTTCTGTTCACTCAGCTCACATTGTGCACCTACCCATCCAGGCTGTCATATTGTAAAGTTTGCAGATGATACAGCAGTGGTGGGATGCATCACAAACAACAATGAGTCCAGCTACAGGCAGGAGGTGGAACACCTGGAGAGCTGGTGCAGGAAGAACAACCTTCACATCAATGTGAAGAAGACAAAGGAGATGGTCGTGGATTTTAGACGGAACAAACACATCTACACTCCCCTACCCCCCACCCAAAATATAGGAGGTGGAAGCGGTCTCTAGCTACAAGTACTTGGGCGTGCACCTGAATGACAACCTCAGCTGGGGCAACAACACTACCAGCCTGATCAAGAAAGCACATAAGAGACTCTACTTCCTCAGGTGGCTGAGGTGAGCTAGACTGAGGAGCTCAGTCCTCGCCTCCTTCTACAGGTGTGCAGTGGAGAGCATCCTGTGATCCAGCATCAACGTGTGGCATGGAGGTTGACAGCTGCAGAAAGAAAAGCTTTGCAGAGAGTGGTGAAGGCTGCACAGAAGACTGTTAGAGTCAGCCTCCCCACCATCACAGACATCTACACCTCCAGATGCAGGAAGAGGGCCACCTGCATCATGAAGGACCTCACTCACCCAGCAAACACACTTTTTGCCCCGCTCCCCTCGGGCAGAAGGTTGAGGAGCATTACGTGCAGAACCACTAGACTAAAGAACAGTTTCTATCCTGAAGCTGTTACTTATGAATCCCTTGTCAAGATTATCAACTCAATTTTTTTATTCAGTTTTATTTATATAGCGCCAAGCCACAACATTATCACTGTGAAAAAAAAAAATCACTGTAATGCCACTTGATTGTTGCTATGTGCTGCTGACTATCCATGCTGCGGATCTCATGCTGCTGATTTATGTCATGCTGCTGTATTTATTTGTACTCATCTACTCATGCAGACTCATGTTCATGTTGCTGTTGTTTGGCGTATTACTGTTTTTGCACTATTAAGTGTTTAGCATATTCTTAGTTTAGCCTATATCCTAGTTCATATCTTAGATCTTATTACTGTTTTTCTTTTACAATTTATGCTTTTTTTTAGATGTAACTGGAACTCTGTGTACACAATTTCGTTCCACCACATGTACCACATGCGATGCAAATGGCATGCGATGCGAATGACAATAAAGAACCCTGACCTTGACCTTTGGGATCTATTATGAGGAAACATTTGGTTGTACCAAAAACCAGGTTGAAGCTCAGAGGAGATCAGGATTTTTCAGTCATTTGCCCTAAATTTTGGAACAATCAACAATAAACAGGCCACTTCACTCCCTGCTTTTAAATCTCTCCTTAAAACACACCTGTATTCACTGACATTTAACACAGTGTGATTTGATTTATTTCATTGTTTCTTCATTGTTTCTCCTTGTTTTTGTGTTTTTATTTTTGATGCGTTTAACTACATCTTGTTATTTTTATTTACCATCTTGACCTTATTGTTAAGCACTTTGGTAACAGCAGCTTTTTTTAAATATGCTTTATATAAATTTGACTTGACTTGACTGGGTTGAGGTAAATAAAAATTATACTTCAATATAAGTTCCAGTCACCTTTTGTGTCTTACATTTTCTAAATGGTTGGCTACTGGTCCCAAAATTGAGACTTCATTAAAAGGTTTTAAAAGAATTTCATACAAGGTCAAAACTGTGTTTACAATAAATAATCAAATAAGATGAAGAGTTTTCTTGAGGAAAGAACTCATTTTGTCATGTTATTAGAGCACTACTTCTGCAAGGTCAAATGGGGTCACTCTTTTGGCTTTTCAGTAGTTCCAAATACAGTTCTCATTAAAGATCAGGATCAGTTGAGGTCATCTAGACCTTAACAGGACCTCCAACATTCCATGTATTTGTTATTTATTAATCATATTACAATAAAAAGTGAACAAATAGCTGCTTGAAATTATGTTTCTACTTTATATAATTTTAAATATTTTAGTATATCAGGTTCATAAAGACTAATTGATGAGGATTGAGGAATATGGGAAAAGACTGAAAAAGAATAAGACAGTAATAAAAAGTTAATGAAAGTCTAAACATTGATAAAAATGATAGAGTCCAAACGCTGAACTGTTGGGAAAGTGTGTCTGCGGTATGAAAGTATGCAAAGGCTAATAAAAAGTAGCTCGCTATACGTACAGTGTTGCCCTGAGCATTACACAGTCCACTCTGCTTCCTCTCCTCTACAACAGCTGCTGATGTCAGTCCAGGTCAGAGATCCCATGATCCTCTGCTCCTAAGCACCACACCCAGCCGAAGAATAAAGCATTGGTCTAGTTACCCAGGCTCCCCTGCTCCTGTTTCACTGGTGAAATGCTACACCCTGCAGAGTGTGCATCGCCTCAGCTACCTTACATCCTGACAGAGACAAAGCTTAGCATAATATTTCCCAGTACAACAGTGGGACACAAACAATAAATATAACAGTTGATTTCAGGAAAATATGTATCTTTGTTACTCCTGCATCAAAATGATGGTTTACAGTCGTTTTGCAGCTGATAAATGCAACACTGAAGGGACTTTAACTCTTAGTAGTTAAAAAATAATAATAATGTAAAAGCAAAACATGCATTTGTCTCTAAAGTCACTAACTTAACAGAGTAGTTGGACTAGAAGGTGTCTGAGCAACAAAATTTGTTTCACCCACATATATAGTATCCTCAGTAAGGCCACGCAAAAAAATAAATAATGCATTCAGGCTCTGATTTAAAAATAAGAAAAATAGAAAGGATCTGCTCCTATTTTGTCGTACTAAAAGCTACTCAGCTCTGTAAGTAATGAGATGTTATGCAATGCAGTTCAGCTGCTATGGGGCCTTGAGGCTGCAAGCTGTGGAGTCCAAGAGTAGCAGCAGAGTAGCCTGGCTGGCTGCACCCAGTGATGCTGCAATTGTGCTTTAATATCCACCTAGCAGTACAGTAATATCTGCCAAAGTTAGACATGCAGAAGCAGCTGATGCTTTCAACAAAGTGATTTCAATAATTTTTGCCAGAGCTAACTTGTAGGCTTGCTTTGGTAAGCTTGCAGTTTTGCCCATATTAGCTTTAGGTTAGCTTAGGTTTGCTAAGGTTAGCTTCTGCGTTTGCTAAGATTACTTTGGTTTGCTCCAGTTAGCCTGAACAATTGCTAAGGTTGACTTGAATTTTTACTAAGGTTCACCTGTAGGTTTGCTAAGATTCACTTGTAGGTTTGATAAGGTTCACCTGTAGGTTCATTAAGGTCACTTGTAGGCATGATAAGGTTCGCTTGTAGATTTGATAAACTTAGCTTGTAGTTTTTTCAGATTAGCTTGTAGGTTAACAAAGATTAGCTTGTCGGTTAGCAAAGATTAACTTGTCGGTTAGCAAAGATTACCTTGTCGGTTAGCAAAGATTACCTTGTCGGTTATCAAAGATTAGCTTGTCGGTTGTCAAAGATTAGCTTGTCGGTTGTCAAAGATTAGCTTGTCGGTTATCAAAGATTAGCTTGTCGATTAGCAAAGATTAGCTTGTCGGTTATCAAAGATTAGCTTGTCGGTTAGCAAAGATTAGCTTGTCGGTTAGCAAAGATTAGCTTGTCGGTTAGCAAAGATTAGCTTGTCGGTTAGCAAAGATTAGCTTGTTGGT